GGCCAAAGATGCCTCGAGGACGGGCTTCAAAACGGCCCAAGAATCCTCCCAGAGGGCCCACAAGGGCCACAAGAAGACCTCCAGCAGGGTCAAAAGATGCCCAAATCATCGAGGTTTATGAATGGTTTCTGCATTCTCACATGTTTGGGCTCTCGCCAGCCTCCACGAAGGACCCAAGACGGCCCAAAATGCCCCAGAGAAGGCCCGAAAATGGCCAAGAGGACACCGCGATGGCCCAAGAGGCATCCAAGACGGCCCCAGGATGGCCCAAGCGGGCATCCCGTGCGATCCAAGACGGCCTTAGAAGGCCCTTCGACGGCCTAAGACCCCACGACGGCCCCAAGACACTAACCATACGGCCAGGAGGGCCTTAAGACGGCCCAAAGGAGCCCCAAGAAGGCCCAAGAGGCCCCCAAGGGACCCCAAAGACTGCCTCACAGGAGGCCACGACAGCCCCAAGGCGGCCCAAACGAGTTCTAGGAGAACTCCTCACATAGTGGAGACGAAAGGTGTCACATGTCACAGGTTTCCTCTTTCTCCTTCTCCTCCTGATCCTGGTCCTCCAACTCCTCCTCCTCCCTCCTCCTCCTCCTCCTCTTCCTCCTCATATTCCTTCTCCTCACCATCGTCATCACCACCACCACCACCACCATCATCATCATCATCATCATCAGCATCATCAGCATCATCATCATCATCATCATCATCATCAGCATCACCAGCATCTGCATCAGTATCATGATCACCATTACAGTTATCATCACCGTCGGCACCACCACAACCACCATCATCATCAACACCATCGTCAGCAGCATCATCACCACAACCACCACCATCATCATCACCATCGTCACCATCGCCATCACCATCATCATCATCACCATCATCATCATCACCATCATCAGCATCATCATCATCAGCATCATCATCACCGTCATCACCCATCATCCTCATATGGGGGTCGTCGTCGTTCCTCCTCCTCTTACTCCTCCTCGTCCTCCTCGTCCTCATCCTCTTCAATTTCCTCCTACTCCTCCACCTCCTTCTCCTCGTCCTTCTCCTCCTCCTCATCCTCCTCTTCCTCCTCCTCTTCATCCTCCACTTCCCGACGGCGTCAGGGAGAAGGGGGGGAGGGGGCGGCAGTGGAGGCACTGAGACCTACTTTTTGGCGTCGCGGCCCCAAGCGCGACGACGGGGCGTAGAAAGTCGGGAGCAGGCAGTGAAGCGCGCGCGTCTACGCTTTGCCGAGCACTCAGAGACCGCTTAGGGTTTCGCAGCTGGCGGCAGCCAAAACCAATCCATGGCGAGGAAGGGGCAATAAGTAGACGAACCGTCCGTGAGGGCACTGATACCCACGCTGGATCAACGGCTGCCCCGCGCATTGCACGGGCACGCCTTCCGCGCGCAAAACGTCTGGCGGGCGATCCTGCGTCACAGATGGACCAGGGGCGACCACCTGCGCTGCAGTACCTGCGCTGCAGTAGACAAGGCGGGGCGGCCTTCAGCCACCGCCACTTGCAGGCCATGGGATGCCCGCACCATCGCATCGTCCTCTGAACTGCCGGAGGCTTCGGCACGTAGTGCAGCGTCGTCGATGCGTGTCCACGGGGACGCGCACGACGCCTGGTCACGCGCCCCCCGGAGGAAGGAGCGACGAAACACATCGGTGCGCCGCGCCCCGTGCGACGAGCCCGCCACCAACAAGCGCGTTGGCCAGAAGGCCCTGCGCTGCACCCATGATGCCTTGTACGTGACGGGGGGCGGACTTCACGCAACTGAATCTCGAGATTGACAACCACTCCGAGTTTGAGGGCCGCTCCTCGCAACTACACCCACGAAACACCGTCGTTCAACTTGCCCCGTCCAACTGAACCTCGGCGGTGGCGCTCCTGGGAAAAGAGGACGCCTTGTCCGACAAGGAAAGAAGAAGCGCTGCTTGCAGCGCAAAGCTGCCAGCGAACGCTCAAGGAGGTTGTGGTGCCAAAGACATCCACTCACCGTGGTGCTCTCTGGCAGGAGTCCGATGACTCTCTCGCCACCCTTGGACTTGGGCAGGAGTGCGCAAATGGCGGCAAGGAACTGGCAAGGCCAGTAAAGAACTGAATGAACTGGCAGCGTCCAGCAACGGGCATGCGCTGGATGTTTTGTGGGAACATGACGTCGGCTCCACGTGCCTCAACGCGCAATAAAAATGACCACGAGTCCGACTGGGACTGGCCGTGGGAGATACCGATCATAGCCATGGTGTCGGCTGCATGGCCGTGCACGTTGGACCACAAACTTGCCGTGTCAAACCGTTCAGTGCTCATATGTGATGCTGGAATCGCTGCTGCACCCGAAATGCTACGAGACTCCGTGACCCTTGCGGGGTCCTTGCAGGCACCCCGAGCTTCGAACTCCACTGTCTCCGTTATGCAAGCTTACAACATCGAATTCGCCCATCCAGCGCTCCGTGAGTAGAACGTCAAGTCGCTTCTCCCCTCGGCAATACTCTGTGGACGATCAGAGACCCAGCGAGTCCACGTAGCGCGATGAGCCTCACCATTCTTCACAAAGTAGTCCTGCAGGTCGTGGTTGACAACGCCGCGCCCGCGCTGGATCGGCGGCGAGAAACAAACGCCTCGCTGGCGGGAATCGGCCTCGTGCTGGGTGGGAAGCGGTCTCGTGGGTGAAGCCCCAGCACTCAGTAATGCCGTCGGTCATGTGGTTTAGGCGAGGGTGCGCCTTGACCCAATGCCATCGGATAGCTTGTCCTTGCGATCGCCTGTACCTCGAAGCAACCACCGTCCTCTCGAATCGAGTGACCAATGTGCCGTAAAGCTCCCAGATGGTGGTGCACCCATGACGCAACAGAACTGAATGCCGAGGAAAGGACAGGGAGAAGACAAGAAGGAAGGAGGAAGGAAGCAAGGAGGGAGGGAGGGAGGGAGAAAGTGACCTCTCCTTGCTTCGGCCGCGCACCACACTGCGAACGCGCGGAAACACCGCGGCCGATTCGGCGCCAGAAGAGGACCTGACGCTCGAAACACGTTTGGCAAGACCCGGTCGCCATTGAAGAAACGCAGGTGGCATCGGGTTCGCATCAATCGGCAAGCAAACTCAGCTTCGTCGTCCTCGCCATCATCGTCGTTGTCCTCCCCCTCATCCTCCTCCCCCTCCTCCTCCTCTTCCTCCACCTCCTCCTCCTCCTCCTCCTCCGGATCATCGTCATCATCATCATCATCATCAGCATCAGCATCGTCATCATCATCATCATCATCATCATCATCACCATCACCATCACCATCACCATCACCATCATCATCATCACCATCATCATTCACCGCCTCGACGTCGCTGACGACGAGACGACGGCGAGCAGAGGAAAGAGGACGACGACGAGAATGATGATGACGACGAGGACGACGACGACGAGATTGATGATGACGACGAGAACGAGGACAAGGACGCGGGCCATGAAGAAGGAACGAGGACGACGAGAGGAAATAGAACGACGACGACGACGACAACGACGACGACGACGAAGACGACAACGACGACAAACGCGATGATGAAGGGCAGACACCCCGCCGAACGGGACCCAGGCACAACCGCGGCGCGACGGGCGGGGCAGCCCGCGCGGGCAGAAGAGGGGCGACCCCCGCGATCGCCTCCTGGCAGAGCGGCCCCGAAAGCCGCCCTCCTCCTCCTCCTTCTCCTCCTCCTCCTCTTCCTCCTCCTCCTCCTCCTCCTCTCCTCCTCCCTCTCCCCCTCCTTTGTGCACTCTCCGTCAGGGGGACCCCCAGGCCCTCCGCCATCCATTCCCCTTGCAGATAGCTGCTGCCTGCCATGCCCCCCGACGCGTCGGCAGGGCGGGCCTGGCGCTTTGCCTGAGACCCCCTCGCCGCTTATATGATCCTGAGACGTGGCAGCTTGCAACAGCTAGAAAGATGGATCACAAAGGGTTTTCACAAGGAGGGTCCCGCCTGAGCGCCGCGTGCAGGTACAACCGCTGTATCTGCTTCAACCGTTTCAAAAAAATGCGCAATAGCGCAGGCCACGTTCGTGTTGAAATTTTGAAGCAGTTACAACGACAAGGCGCGGTTCTCTTTGCAAACGGGGCCCTCGTACTGGCACCACGCACACTGGACTTGAAAGCTAGCCATGTGTACGAGCTTGGAGGAGAACGGTTCCATTTTCATAATGAGGCTCTCACTTGATCCTTCCTTCAAGTTACAACTTGAAGACCATAATGTTCAAAATGTGTTGCAGCACAACGATTGGAGGGCAGTTCATTTCCAACATGGAGATATCATTTGAGACTTGACGTTCATGACCAAAACTCTACATTAGCAACAACTAAACAGATGGGGAGTCGTGTTTTCCAAAACGGGAACCTCGCTGGACATTTCGTTACAATGTATGATCATACCTTGATCGCGTTCCTGCTTGCGCGCTAGAACAATGCAGGCCAATTCATTATCAAAACGAGGGTCTCGCATGAAAAGCAGGCCCATAGGGGTGATGGTACTCCAAAATCGGGAGCGGCCAGGAGGGGGGTGTCCAAGAGGGAGGGGTGCAAATCATGACTGGCGGCAAGTGCGCGGCCCAGCGGGGTGGCCAGGGACGTAATGAAGCAAGAAGGGGCGCCATGAAATCGGGGGAAATATCATGGCCCCCGCCATGATATCCACCCCCCACTAAATCATCACCCTCCTCTTTTCCGCCCCCGACAAAAGGTGCGCCTTCCCGTAGTAAAGAGGGAAACTGATGGGGACCTATGAAGATGAGACCCGGGACATCAAGGTATGACGCAACATCGCTGATACATTTTGGGTTTAGACTGGCCTTCCTGTTTCTCCTGTTCCTCCTCCTCTTCCCCATCCTCCTCCTTCTCCTCCTATTCCGCCTCATGTTTTTCCTCCTCCCCCTCCTCCTCCTCCTCTTCGTCCTCCTCCTCCTCCCCCGCCTCCTCCTGCTCCTCCTCCTCCCCCTCCACGGGGGGGGGCGTCGGGCCGGGCCTTCGGCAGAGCGCAGCCGGCGCCGCCGCCGTCCGCCGAGAGTTCGGCGGGACGCAGCCGCGCGGGCGGCATGGGGCCCTTTCAACGCTGGGGCGAGCGGGAGCGAAGGGACGTTTAAAGTAGAGGGAATACGGGAATACAAAAATACATATTGTCAACGACCGTGTGGACTGTACGGGGGTAACTGTACGGAATACCAAAAGACACGAAGTGCAAGTAGGGGGGCCGTGCTAAGAGAGAGCTAAGAGAGAGCACGTTTTCTTTCCTTTTACGGGGGCTCGCGCGCGCCCGCGGCCAGCGCGCCAAGTAACTCAAGGGCCCTGCGAGCCAGAGCAGCGGCAGGGCAAGGAAGGCAAGACCGAGGCGCAGGAGGAGGAAAGGCTGGAGTATGTCAAACAACCACGGACCTATGGGTACCCAATCGGAGGTCTGGGAACGGGTCAGGTACGATCGACCTGGGTCACCTGAGTTCGCGCCCCGCGAAACGAGAGCAGCTCGTAGGTCGGGCATGTCCTTCTACAGGCGGGCTTTGGTGGGTGCTGGGGTGAACGGGAAGCCCCTGGGAAGCGAAGGGCCTTGTGAGCGAAGCATGCCCGCGCTGCCACCGGCTACGGCGATCAGGCAACCTCCGCGTCATGCGAAAACAATCACCAAAGCTTGCTGGACAGTGTGTGTGTGTGTGGGCGCGTTTTGCCGTTTTGTGCTTCGGAACGTGGGTTTTCGGATCCATGCCAATCCAGAGGAGGGCAAGGAGGAAACAGAGTGGAGGAGAAGGAGGACTGGGAAAAGTAGGGGGAGGAGGAAAACAACAGAAGAGAAAAATGGGGAGGAGTCGACGCATGAAAAAGCGGAGGAGGAGCAGAAGGGCGAGCGGGAGGACGTGAACGAGGAGTGGATGGATGAGGCCGCCGCAGCAAGATCGCACCACACTGTGCAGCGGTTCGTGTATGTCCGTGTGTGCGTGCGTCGGCTCCTCCGCGCCCGCCCGCTTCTGTCTCCCACATGCTCGCGTACAGTTCGCCGAACAGCGACCCAAGAAAGGCTACGGACGCGGAGCGCGTGCGCAAGCGGTGCGCTCGAAATGTGCGTGTGAATTCGTGTGTGCGAGTATGTTCGTGTGTGTATGCGTGTGTTGGTGTGTGTTTGTGTTTTGAGTGTTCGGGTGTGTGTATGTGTTCGTGTGTATGTAAGTGTTCGTGTGTGTATGTGGTTGTGTGTGTCCCGGTTCGTGTGTGTATT